ATAAGGATATGGCCAGTGCGTCAAATCATGGCATTAAGGGGTAAAGAGCTAAGCATACTCTTTCTCTTAATGATTTGTAACGTATAATGATCCAATATAATCATAAACACTGCATACGGTAATAATTATAATTTGCTTGTGCTGGTTTTAACCTACAACTTTTGAACTTTATGATAATTATTAATTCTGGCTATCTTTCATGTGCTTGAAAATAAAAAAAATTAACTGGTCTGTTGTTAAATTACTTTAAGGCTCACATCATATAAGATGCCCTATGTGTAGGTAAAATTTGTTTTCGTCTGCAACTGTCGTGTTATAAATCATTCTTTGAGGCCCTATCTGTAAATATTTAATGTACACTACGTGGGGGCAAATGTTCCTTTATGTTTGGGAGTGTGTGTGTGTGTGTTTTTTTTTTATTTTCAGGCATAGACCAACATTCAAAATTACTAGCTAGAACAGTGTCTACGGAATAAAACAGATAATGCTAAGAAATAAAATAAATAAGGTAGACAAAACCTGATATACACCACGTTTCTTAACGCTGTATTGAAAGTATCTTTTCGAAAAATTTGTGTGGCCCTGAAAAGGGCCGTTTTGTTTTTCTGAAGTGCAAGTTTGCAGTTTACTTGCTGCTGGTGTACTTGGTGACAGCCTTGGTTCCCTCAGAGACGGCGTGTTTGGCCAACTCACCGGGCAGAAGGAGACGGACAGCAGTCTGGATCTCTCTGCTGGTGATGGTTGATCGCTTGTTATAGTGAGCGAGACGGGAGGCCTCGGCAGCGATTCTCTCAAAGATGTCATTGACGAAAGAGTTCATGATGCTCATGGCCTTGCTGGAAACACCAGTATCTGGGTGAACCTGTTTCAGGACCTTGTAGATGTAAATGGCGTAGGATTCCCTCCTCTTCCTGCGCTTTTTCTTGTCCCCAGTTCTCTGGGCCTTGGCCTTAGTGGCTGCTTTCTTAGCTCCTTTAGATCCGACTTTGGGTGGCATGTTTACAGATTGTATACAAACTGAAACCTATGAGTGTCGATTCGCGTCTCGCTGGTTTTATATCGCACGGACGGATAACGGCGGATAAGTACATTACGAACCCTCGAGAAAACTAGTGTTGTTCGGCGAGCGACAAAGTGTGTTAAATACGATCGTGCCGATTGGCTGCACTGTTCAATCCGCCCGCGTGTTTAAATAGGATCGCGAAGCCTGTGTTTGAGTTATCCGTTGATTTCATTTCTTGAGCGTCAACTACTCGTAACAGATCAAAGATGTCAGGACGTGGTAAAGGAGGCAAAGTGAAGGGAAAGGCCAAGAGCCGATCATCCCGTGCCGGACTTCAGTTCCCCGTGGGTCGTATCCACCGTCTGCTGAGGAAGGGCAACTACGCCGAGAGAGTGGGAGCCGGTGCCCCCGTGTACCTGGCCGCCGTTCTTGAATACTTGGCCGCCGAAGTCTTGGAGTTGGCAGGCAACGCCGCCCGAGACAACAAGAAGACCAGAATCATCCCCCGTCATCTGCAGCTGGCCATCCGCAACGACGAGGAGTTGAACAAACTGCTGTCCGGCGTGACCATCGCCCAGGGTGGTGTCCTGCCCAACATCCAGGCCGTGCTCCTCCCCAAGAAGACCCAGAAGTCCGCCAGCAAGTAAAAAGTCTGTACGACTTTCAAATATACCAAACGGCCGTTTTCACGGCCACCCAAATTTTTCGAAAAGATGCCTCTAAGAGCATACTGTAGTTAATATAAGAAACGAAATGCATGTTCAATAAATGAAAATGTACGTGCCAAGATATCACATTTTCCCTACAAGTAATTTCACGTATATATACAGTACCAGGCCATAAGTGAAAATCAGAATTGAGTTTTGTGGCACATAATTTCAAAACTATTTTCTGTAAGCGTGACATGATCACTGCACATGCAACAAATGCAAAACGGAAATTTTTACGGCACAAATTTGTTAAGAAATCATGGTAGAAATGTTAGTCACGATGAAATGTTTTCAGTGATCAAAGGTATATAGTAACTAAGCAAATGATTTATTAGAGTGACACGTGTTATGTACCATACAACAACATTTCAATATGGTTCAATCAAAAATCCACATATTATTATTGTTAGGTCCTACTCAAACTTGTGTTTATTTTAAAACAAATTCTGGTAAGAAATGGTATAGAAGACGAAATTCCTTTTTTATAGCACTGTGCTTAATTTGTACTCTAAATACCGCTCAAAGTTTTTTGAAAACACGTGTTTTAATCAAATGGAGAAAGTAAGAATGCTAATTGTAAAATGTACATGTATCTCGGTGTCATATACATCTTCCAATTTTTTTTTTTTTTTTTTTTTAATAACAGACACTGCTAATCTTAGCACACAGGTGTATACTTACAAAATGCATATATTTAAATATTACGTATATTTTCATGTACCTTTTTTTTTTTTTTTTTTTTTTTACTGTTTGTGAAAAAACAAGTGATGTACACATGTCGCTGAAAATAAATAAATTACTTCCTTACCTTAATACCAATTCAATATTGAAACACCTATAGATATATATGTCAGGTTTAACAAAAATAAATGAAAAATATATACGTTGTAAAATATACACATTTTAGGCCAAAATAAAAAATAGCTTTGTTTCCCCTAACGCGACCGACCCAATTAAATTGCGCCGACTGAAAAGTTTTTTAAATAAGATTATTCAAATATATATATTTTTTTAATTGTTTATCAACTTTATTAAATACAATTTCATCAAAATGCGGTTTTATCAGAACGATTGATTTTGTTCTACTATGATTTTCAAGCGCTTGTTTGAAACAAAATGGTCTAACATGTGGTCACAGAGGGTTATTTCGTTTTATGAAACAACGGCGACGTATCATCCTTATTATATATCTTTAATTTATTAGAATTCTACACTCTTGAAATACTTCGTTAATAATAATACTTCAATCAAGAGTGTTTCGGTGGTATTTTACAAAAGTATCTGTGTACACATCAATCAATTTCACAATTGTAAATATGTCTGCATATTTCATCCAGATAAATATAACTCAAACTTTGTTTCTTAATTCTGAATTCTTTTAATGAATGGGTTAAATTTCGTGACTAAAGCATTCGATGTGGCATTTTTATCATTTTTAGATATAGTTTGATTCAATTAAATATTGTTGAAATACTCTTTCCAAAAAGTTTTGAAATCTTTAAAACTGGTCTATGGTACAGCTTGCTGAGACGCCCAGTGTATTTTTCTTTAATTATGCCCGTGAAGATTGGTTGTTTGTTTGCTTTAAATCCCTTTGAGAATTGTTGGGACTACAACATGTAATATTTGCCTGCATGATGGAGGGCTCCAAATTTTGACTTGTACTCGGCACTTATGGCAATTGAGCAGCAAGGGATCTTTTTTAATTCGTGAAAGCATCTACTGCGACACTGGACCTATGGGTTTTTACAGTCTCATTTGAAGGACCAGTCACTACGTCCCGCATTGGGGTTTGAATCTGTGATTTAGAATTACCTTCCTACTTAAATTCGTGACTCTTTAGCGAAATGATCTAGAACCACTGTGCCACGCAAGACCCTTGAAAGAGTATTTTCTCTGTGTAAGCACTGGAAACTGGTAGTAGGTTTGAAAAATCAGATCGATGAGTATTTGAGAATTTTGTCCATTTGGAAATATTCGATTTCAGCAAATTTACACTGCATGCCACGAGATATTTCACAAGATCTATTAAATAATTGTTGCGAACTCATTTACCTTAAAATTTGCTTTTGAGATTGCATCAGTGTGATATACTGTTTAAAAATCTCTTTCTTTTGTACTTTTCTTATTCATAAAGGTATTATTCAATTAAATTTCAGAATGTATTTCAAAGCTGCTGTCAGAAAAAAAAAACCATTTACCAACCTACCTACCCAACATGAGATTTTAGGGTCGGGTTAGGGGAAACAAAGATATTATGCATAGTAGTAGGAAAATCGGAAAACTTCAAAAGAAATTTTGAACAATTCTGAATCATGGTAATCGGGCTTAATTTTACCTCACAATAATTTCTTATCATTGAAATTAATAGTGTAAAAATAAAATTAGGACTCACTTATATTATGGCCATTTATTGTATAAATTATTTGGATACACAGCGCCATTTAATACAGGTACAGTATTCGTACGTGTAAGAGCAAAATCTTAAGGTGTTAGTTTGTGATTTTCGGGGAGTGATTTTAACAGCATGATTTTTTTTTTTTTTAAAGGTAAAATATCAGCGACGCAGATGACATTGTGAAAAATTTTGTGTTTCGACGCTTTTCGACGGGTTTATAGATATGCCTGGAAATTATGCTTCATTTAGTTTTAAATATTTTTTTTTATTGATTGGAAACAAGTTCTTACAACTTCCTGAAATATAACAATGTGTCCTGCAAAATAAATAGCTTGAGTATGAAAAGTATCAAATTAATTACACGTTATGCACTTGGGAAATGCGAAAACGTGTCAGCATAACGCACAAGCACGAAAAGAAAATAAAGAATATAATTAAAGAAAATAACAACAATAATAACGGAAATTAGTAATTTAAGAAAAAGTAATTCCCATATTGTCTATCAGTCGTCTATACCGCATGTCTAAATAGGCAGGTGTGACACAGTACACAGTCTTTGTGAATTGGAGGGCAAACTGATGATATTTATAAGACGGGGAGATCCAAATGGCATTCTTTAATGTGTCTAATAAAAAAATAAAAGAAATCATCCCTGAATTTTGTCCTTTGAAGCCAAATTTTTAGCTTTAATCCTACCCCGAAATTCAAACATGAGAGTTTGGAGGCTTATTTTCCTGAATTTAAACACTACAGTAAGAACGATCTTAAAATGTAAGTAGATAGAATGATAGAGAGAAATGTAGAGGTTGGGATTCTGCTCATGATATGTGGTGAAGTTCATTCCTTGAGCTGCAGCGCGGATGCAAATACCCATATTGAAACACACATCCATGAACAAAACACAAACGTCTCGACAAACTGGATGTTTTCTAGGCGGTCCGCGCTCAGTGTAAACAAAAACAGCAAGTGCGTGTGACCCGAGTATTTCACTGTTCACAGTTCCTGAGAAGTAAGCCGACGTTTTTACACTCGTCAGTAGCCATGGCCGATACTGCTCCTCCAGCAAAGTCCCCAGCCAAGAAGAAGGCCGCAAAGCCTAAGGTACCTGCTGCACATCCCAAGTACATCGACATGATTAGCGCTGCTGTTGCATCTCTGAAAGAACGTGGTGGCTCATCTCGACAGGCCATTCTCAAGTACATCATGGCCAACTACAAAGTGGGCAACGATGTTAACTCTATCAACGCCCACCTGAAAATGGCCCTGAAGAGCGGAGTTAAGAAAGGTGCTCTGAAGCAAGCAAAGGGCACAGGCGCTAGTGGCTCCTTCAAACTTGGAGACAAACCCAAGACCGATAAGAAGCCTAGAGCCAAAAAGGTAGCAAAACCCAAGGCAGCCAAGCCCAAGAAGGCCGCCGCCAAGCCCAAGAAGCCTGCGGGAGAGAAGAAGGCCAAGACTCCAAAGAAGAAGGCAGCAGCCAAGAAACCAGCCGGACCCAAGAAAGCCAAGTCCCCCAAGAAAAAGGCAGCCACCAAGTCTCCAAAGAAGGCAGCAGCCAAACCCAAGAAGGCCAAGACCCCCAAGAAGGCAGCGGCCAAGAAAACAAAGACTCCCAAGAAAGCAGCCGCCAAGAAATAAGCAGTCTTCGCATTCCAGGCAGACTGTCTACGCTTAAAAAAAAATTTAAAAAAGCCCTTTTCAGGGCTACCCACATTTTTAGAAAAGATGCCTTTAGAACATTCGTTAACGAAACATTTGCATAATCATGCTTTTCTTTTCCCCGTTTATTTGGAATGCAGAGGTCTGTGTTGAAAAATCTAAACTTATCAAACATCTGAAATATTACAATTTCAATAACAATATATCTTACAAATGCCTACACTGTCTAGTAGGCATAAGCTAGGATTATGTGCTCATGGTAATAATTGTATTGTAGCAGAAATTGGAAATGAATATCAAAAAATGCATGCGTGCTCCTGAAACAATAATCTAAATAATAGGGAGGAACAATAAGTGAAATGAATGAAGGGTGTGTGAATTATTTTTAGTTGTAATGTACATAATATCAGGTCAAGTTTGAATTATCTATGATAGACCATTTTTTTCACACACCCTCTCATACACACACACACACACACCCTCAAACACACCCTCACACACTGGCTGTTACAGTGTAATTTCATTCAATGTTCGGTGTTCAGGACAGAAGTTTTGTTCCATATTTCAGAATTGGTTTCATTTCCTAGCTTTCACGCCACACACAGAATGAAATGGAGCGTACTCTGGTGCGACTGAAATAAATTTCTAAGGCAGTGACTTTTCATGCAAGTGCCCGTGTAAACTCTACATGGTCACAAGATTCTTGAAAGCAAAACCACATGCATACCAGGGCTTATCAAAAAACATCAAATATTTCTACAAAATCGAAGTTTTTGAACAATTTCCTGAAGCTTTGGTTTGACAGGACTTCAAAATTTGATAAACATTTAAGTTCTTGAAATATCTAAAGTCAAAAGTGAGAAACACATACAGAAATTAAGGTGGGGGTGGGGTTAAAGAAAGCAAAGCAATGATGAGCTTATTTATGAGTCAGGATGTCAAATCCAGCAAACACTGGATCATGTATAAAGTAAAACATTATGGCCTGAAAACATTTCTATAAGGAAATTTTTAAGTAATATTCATTGATATAATAATAAAGAAATGAATAAATCAATAAATGAATGAATAAATCAATGAATGAATGAATGAATGAATAAATGAATAAATGAATAAATAAATAAATAAATAAATAAATAAATAAATAAATAAATAAATAAATAAATAAATAAATAAATAAATAAACATGCATAGGGAGTGTATATATGTCTATCTTCACGGTTATTATCATATTTACTGTAATCATACATCTTTTCATACAGTGGGTATATTAGATATTTTCTAGACAATTTAACATTGATTTAAACCAAGTACAAAATCTGTGCAAAAAGGTGGATTGAAATGCTTCCAGCTAAGACCAATGGAAGCACGCTATGTGCGACTAATCACAAGGTGTCTTTCTTAACCCCCAACCAATCGCAAACATCCTTACTTAATGCGCGCAGATTTCGATTCACGAGCCACAAAACCGTATAAAACTATAGTAAACGATTGCTCTCGTCATTCATTTTATCTGAACTCAGAGACGATGGCACGTACCAAGCAGACTGCAAGAAAATCTACTGGAGGCAAGGCCCCACGAAAACAGCTGGCTACCAAGGCAGCCCGTAAAAGCGCACCAGCCACCGGTGGCGTTAAGAAGCCCCACAGATACAGGCCAGGAACTGTCGCTCTCCGTGAGATCAGGAGATACCAGAAGAGCACCGAGTTGTTGATCAGGAAACTCCCATTCCAGCGCCTTGTCCGTGAAATCGCTCAGGATTTCAAGACAGATCTGCGTTTCCAGAGCTCTGCCGTCATGGCCCTCCAGGAAGCCAGTGAAGCCTACCTTGTCGGACTCTTTGAGGATACCAACTTGTGTGCTATCCACGCTAAGAGAGTGACCATCATGCCAAAGGACATCCAGCTTGCCAGACGTATCCGTGGCGAGCGAGCTTAAACATATTCTTGTCTCCGACAAACACACAAACGGCCGTTTTCACGGCCACCAAAATATTTAGAAAAGATGCCCTCTTTAACAGCACTAATTAGAAACGTGACAACCAACAAAGAGCACAAGTATTGACCACATAATTATGCCAGGTCTTATTGGCGAAAATATTGTTTATTATTTATGAATGCAAGGAAACACACAGATATGATAGTGTCTTGAATGCTGGCGTAATTATGACAGTTTATACTCGTATTATTTATGAACAAAAAAGCACGCATGAAACGAGTGTCACACAACAGTTTGAGAGATGAACATCAGACACTAAAAATCACGTACATGTATCCAAAGCAATATTCTAAAGGCACGTTAAAAGAATTTGATAAAATAGTTACTCATGCATGGTTATACATATTTTGCTTATTCAGAGAGCGTGATAAACAATATAACACAATGGATACTGTTTTATATGTGACATTTGAGTAATATTCTGACAGAATATATGGTCAGTTGTTTGAAACATTTGCATATACATTTATTACATTTTTATTCTGCGTAATGAAATACTACTAATAATTAAAAAGAAATCTTAAGAGAGATACAGACAATAACATGTACTGAGTAGGAACCGTGGTATCTTATTTATTATGAGATATATGTATTTAAATGTGTTATGCATTAAAGAATATTGTTTTATATTATTTCCCTGAAAATATGACAGTATACAGAACCCTCGCAAAAATATGAAATGATATATAATATATATATATATATATGTATATATAGATAGATACGCAATCTGAAATATCGAACTACAGAAATTTAAGATAGGCATATATAGACAAGTACATGATTTAGTAACAGCTCAAGGGTGCACGGAAAAAAAAAGAAGAAAATATGCAAGGCGCGCAGAGCGGGAGCCAATCGCACTTTGGCTTACAGTGTGCCTTCGGAACGTGAAAATTGCGCTGCCGAAGTTTTCAAGATATTAGTGCTTCTAGCACGTCGTTGATTAGCGCTATATATACCACGATCTCTGACTACGTCCGACATTTCAGAAGATTATCTACTGAGAGCAGAAATATGTCTGGACGTGGTAAAGGAGGAAAAGGTCTTGGAAAAGGGGGCGCCAAGCGTCACAGGAAGGTGCTGAGAGATAACATCCAGGGTATTACCAAACCCGCCATCCGCCGTCTTGCACGCAGAGGTGGAGTTAAACGTATCTCTGGTCTCATCTACGAGGAGACCCGTGGTGTCCTGAAAGTTTTCCTTGAGAACGTCATTCGTGATGCAGTCACCTACACAGAGCACGCCAAGAGGAAGACCGTCACAGCCATGGACGTTGTCTATGCCCTGAAGAGACAAGGACGTACCCTCTACGGATTTGGTGGTTAGATACCCCTACCATACTGTGCCTACAAGAGCAACAACAAACGGCCGTTTTCACGGCCACCCAAATTTTTCGAAAAGATGCCTCTGAGCAGACGTGTTAAAGAAACGAAGGTGTTAATTTTTCTATATATTCATTTGTAGTGAGCAAAAAAATTTTTTTTAATTTAATGTCACTGGAAGAAGGCACATTATTCGGATAGCCTTGCAGTAACTTGTACACAGGGTAGGGGAAAACAAATGATTACAATATCCTCATAATCATTGATTTACATTAGGTTCCCATGTAAGAGAGAAAATAAAATGCAAACAAACAAGAAAGTCCCATGCACCAGTTGATTATTTCCAAGGACACATCTGGTAGATAAATATAAATTTAATAACTTGCATGTCGTTACAGTTTCCTGAGATATCGTTGAAAGCCGTAAATATTGGTAGCCCTGTCAAGACAGAGACAAAATACGCGTATACAACTCGTACGGTTAAATGTACTTTGACAAGGTAGCAAGAGTTGTCTTTCTTTTAAGGTATGCTGTATATTCCCATGCATTGTGCAAGTGGTTATTTGCAGTTCAGGTCTACTATCTTTACATTTACATGCCTCTATCAACAATAAAGCAGGAATTCACAGCTGTTTCTCTCTCTCTCTCTCTCTTTTTTTTTGGTTATTCTTCATTCTATTACATTTGGACTCTAACATAGACACCACATGTAATGATAGTATGGCAACAAAGTACACCACACAGTCAAAACTTCATCTCAGGAATAAAACTATGACCCATACTTGCGGGAAATATTTCATAATGCCACTAAATATACATGTTTATTTTATACAGGTATGTCCCAGAACTAGCATTGTTTGATATGATGTATCTTGATCCTCATTCCTGTGCTAAACAAACAACCACACACAAAGCAAAATATTTAGTACAGAGATGACTCTGAACATTTATATGCAGAAATGTGAAACATAACCTAAGGACGCTATGTCTTAAGGATGTAGTTTATTTGATTACTTGTATATTCCCTGTAGGATTCTAAATGTTTGACATTCCAATGTAATTCCTTTTCAATATCCTTTCAAATACCTTTTTTTTTTTTTTTCATGGAGATAACCTGTAATGAGCTATATTTTTTCCTGACCAGTAGATATTAAACCTGTGCTGGTTTCCTATACATGTTGTACACATGTTGATGAACTTGATCACAATGTTAAATGTTCAAAAAGATGTAATTACAAATTCTGGGTGATTATAGTCTATCTACCATTATCTTTGTGCCTCAATACATCACACATCCTTTGGTATACTGAATTATAATATCTGAATCACTAAGTTAGCTTAAGAAATGTTTTTGAAAGTTCATGAAGTTATGACATACCTTTAACCAGGGCATACAAATAAAATTAAAAAAGTATCAGTTCATATCCTCCGGACAGACACCGACAAACTGCTAGTGTATATTTTCTACGTATTGAGGTATAATAGTATATTGTTTCTCGTCTGTCATAGTTCATGAGAATAGGTCGAGGAATTTCATTCAAAGAAATAACAAAGAGAATTCATATTTCAGTTGAATAATATAGACCCCAGCAAAAGATAACATTTCTGTATAATAAGGAATTCGTTCATCATCCTTCTTAACGGTATCTTCCTTACAAGCCTTTAAGATACAGATATTCAGTGTTGTTTCAGTATTTAAACTGGTATCTAACTCTATTCCCCTTAGACCTTTCCATCCTTTACCCCTTAATGACGACTTTTGACGCCTAGTCTCAAACCCTTAATGGCGACTTTTGACGCACGTGTATTTCATTGTTGATTTGACTTGAAATTACCGCTTGTTTACAAATTATCAGAGCACAGGTGGCCACCTGCAGGTTAACAATATATGATTGCATCATACTACAGTTAGAAATCACGTGATTTACCTGTGTAAACAAACAAAAGAGTCTTGGAAAGTCTCACCAAAATTCAAAATGGCGGACAGTTACATACGATGTTTTTAGAGAATATATCTCTGTCAATACCCAATATTTTTTCATCCAGTAAAGCATTACATGAAATTCAAGCTATAAGCTACCTATTTCTTGAAAGTTTTGAAAATTATAATGATCTATGTGTATAATAAACATTAAAATAAGATACGAAAATGTGGTGGTGAAGTTCGGGACCTGGCAGTGCCGATTTTGTTACCTGTTTCTCAGAATTTCAGAAGGTACCTTCCATTTTACACATATTTATAAATGTGAAGGTGTAGAAAAAAACAATTATTTTAATAGAATTTGATCATTCAAGTAAACAAAAACGTTCAGAAATCAAGTTTTATCAGCCAAGTCTGAAAATTTGTCGGCGAGATTGACATTGAAGTAGCACTACAATTTATTGATTTTTGAGGAATTAGACTTATAAAATTGATAGTTAATTATAATTTAACCATCAATTATATCATCACACATAATTTTTATTATTTATACAGACAATTTTGGCTTATTAAAGCCGTTTTACATGTTGAAAATATCTATTTTGTGATTTACACCTGCTTTCACCTGAATTAATTCCGATCAAAATTATGCTAATAGATTTGAAAAATTGAATTTATTATGAATCCAGTGATATATAATACATAGCATAAATGAAATATTTTGACCCCCATTAGTTCAGTTTTAAACTGCACTCCAATTTCATCTAAAACGGTCCAAGGGGCAGCCAGGCAAACACTCTCAGATAAGGATATGGCCAGTGCGTCAAATCATGGCATTAAGGGGTAAAGAGCTAAGCATACTCTTTCTCTTAATGATTTGTAACGTATAATGATCCAATATAATCATAAACACTGCATACGGTAATAATTATAATTTGCTTGTGCTGGTTTTAACCTACAACTTTTGAACTTTATGATAATTATTAATTCTGGCTATCTTTCATGTGCTTGAAAATAAAAAAAATTAACTGGTCTGTTGTTAAATTACTTTAAGGCTCACATCATATAAGATGCCCTATGTGTAGGTAAAATTTGTTTTCGTCTGCAACTGTTGTGTTATAAATCATTCTTTGAGGCCCTATCTGTAAATATTTAATGTGCACTACGTGGGGGCAAATGTTCCTTTATGTTTGGGAGTGTGTGTGGGTTTTTTTTTTTATTTTCAGGCATAGACCAACATTCAAAATTACTAGCTAGAACAGTGTCTACGGAATAAAACAGATAATGCTAAGAAATAAAATAAATAAGGTAGACAAAACCTGATATACACCACGTTTCTTAACGCTGTATTGAAAGTATCTTTTCGAAAAATTTGTGTGGCCCTGAAAAGGGCCGTTTTGTTTTTCTGAAGTGCAAGTTTGCAGTTTACTTGCTAATAGAGATTGTTCTATCTGACGTATCCGTATAAGTATCCGTATCCGTATACGTATCGAGATGAGAAAGGCATCTCGATCCCGATGTCTAAACTATTTACTATAATTTCCATCGTTATTTGTTTGGTTTTAAAGCAGTCCCATTCATTTAAGAATAGCATATGGTATTTTTTCTAATAAAAAATGTATTAAGCTGCTGTAAAAGTTTGTTATTTTGCTGGAAAATTAAAAAAAAAATAGATAATGAAATTCAATAAATTTGTATTTGTTTTCATTATATTGTTTAAAACTTTAATTGCAATTTTGTTTAAAAACATTTATCGGGACCCCCCTCTCTCCCTCTTAACATCAGGACATTTTATTGATTGATTCTGTAATTTACATTAGATGACATAAAAGTTAACCCCCTCACTCTCACACTAAATGCAAAAGACGTTGATATCCACACAATCAATAAAACCGTGTAGCAGTTTTCTATAGAGAATTTGCTTCCAGACCCTTACCAGTATATGCTTAAAAATGCCAGTCCCCCCCCCCCCCCGGGAACACACACAAACCTTCATAGCGTCTGTTGGCTTTCTTCATTCTTTTTTTTTTTCAATGAACTATTTGACAAATACCTGTATGTCTCCCCTTCCCCTCCCCAGTTGAAATTGCTACTTTCGGGCCTATTCTCATACGGCTTGATTTTGTTTTATATTTTGTCCTTTCAGCAGTAATAACTTGAAAAGACTTCATGGCGACAAAAATAGGTAATGAAATGAAAATTCAATTGTTAAATTTGATTTTTCTTTTTAGTTCTCTTGTTGTCGTACATGCGTATTATAATTTATGGTTTGATATAGAAACTGTTTCAAAATAGGGTACATGTATTCATTATCTTAAC